AATAATTAAATCTTTAAAAAAAATTCTGTGACTGGGAAAAAAATCTTAAAAGCAACTCAGAGAACTTTAAAGATGGATCTGAAATTAGAATTTGTGAAGAAAAGTTGATGGAACTGGGATGAGTTAGTTAACCTAAAGGAAAGAACATTGCCAAATAACCTAACGCCCTTGAAATATGTTCATTCTATAAAGAGACTAAAATGGAATAAACCAGACAGTATCATAACAGAGTTCAGATGCCAATATTATGTACCTATTATAGGTAATTATAATGTTACATACAATACTGTTGGGGTAGCACCAGGTTGAGAGTGCATTAGACTTGGGTCAGGAGAACATGGGCCCTAGATACTTTCTGGCTCTACTGCTTAATGGTTGTGTAACTCTTGAATAAGTCACTTAATTTTCAAGACTCAGTTTCTTAATTCTAAAATGGAAAGGAGGCAGGAGTAATTCTACTTGCTTCATGGAGCTATTCAGATGGTTAAATGAGATAATGGCTATAAAACTCTTTATTATCTATAAAGTCCCAGCCACAAGTACGGTGAGTCCCAGTGTTCTTATAAAAGTAAGTGTTGAGGCAGGTCCGCACTGCGGGCATCTCTTGCCTCCAGAGGTCTGTAAACAGAGAGCATCTTCTGGGCCAGATGGCTTACTCAGACCGCGGGCAGTGGATGACCCAAAACAACTCGGATCGTCATTCCGCCCCAGGATTCTTAGCATCTGCTGACTCCCCCAGCTCAGGCTAAAACAGCCAATGTGCTGAAAGTTGTTTCCTTCTTTTCTAATCTTTGGATTGTTTTCTTTTCAAATGGATGGAATAAGACACACCAGGAAGAACACTGGGATCTGACTGAACACCTGCTCTTGGTTTGGTTTTTCCCTAAAAGAGCAAGTCCTCCTGTTTTCCTGATGTAAGTTGACTTGCTTAACCCAGCTTCCTGGTGTTTCTTTGTTTGCTGAAAGCCACTAGGGAGATTTACGCTGTGGGTAGAACTGACTCCCTGCAGAAAAATGCTTACTGATTTGTGATGAGGCATTGGGAAGATTCTCTTCTTTGTACACGGCAGTGCTCTTCTCCTTTGACTTCCCGAAGGGACCATCATTGTCTTGGCTATAAATGCTCAGTCTTCTTCCCTGAAGGGTGAAAATCTAGGGGCACAGAGGGACCTGCAGCTGGAAATTTTCTAGAGAAAAACTAGCCTAACATGACAACCGCCCTTCCTCACCGTGCATTCATAGTCCCTTGCCTGCCCTTTTAGTAACTGTAAGAGGCTGCTCTGCTGGTGACCACAGGTCCCAAAAGCAGAGTGGGAGGGAGGGGAAGGGGCTGGTGGACAACGACAGAACTTTGATGGGTGGGGAGCAGCACTCTTCGCCCTCAGCCTCCCTGAGTGAGGCTCACAGCGCCTGAGCTGGCCTCTCACCCTGACCACCAGGGGCCTCCTGAGAAAGCCTAGCCCCTCCTTGGTCCCACAAAGGTGAGCCTTCGAAAAAGAAGCTCATTTAGAGGTGGGATTTTTTTTTAAAATAGCATTTTTGGGCCTTTATTGTCCTTTTAGAGTATTATAAGTCACATCCGTTTATCACTTATCTGTCTGATGGCTATCTGAAGAAAGTCCTCACAACATACCTTATTTTTCTCCTCTGAACGAAATCTCCCCAATTTCCTTCAGCTCTCCCTCTCCCCCTTGAAGCTATGTATTCCATACACACAACACTCTTCTCTTATCCACACTGTGGTTTTCCAAAAATTTCCCTTCCCCTGTCCTGTGGCGTGTTGGACATCCACCATTAGCCTAGTTCCTACAAGGAGAGGGTCTGTTTTAGGAGGCGGCTGAGATTTTGGTAGCAGGTCTCATGCTCAGCTCACTCACTGAGATGGAACTTAGTGCCTCATGGTGGTCCTGGATGCCTGGACTATACCTGACCAACGGCCCCAGTGGGGCTTCCTGTGCCTCATTTCAGAGATGTGAGCCCTGAGTTGACATGGAGATAACATTCCAGAGACTGCAAGTATTTCCAGCCCTCATGACAACTCTGAGAATTAACCAATCAGGCAAGGCCGTGCATCTCCTCACTCCTGAAACCCCAGGCTGCGATGACCACTGGTAGCTTGCTCTATAAATTTCTTCCCTGTCCTTCCAGACAGGAGCAAGTATAGGTTCTCCTGTTCCCAGAGCTTTCCATCCTTTTTTGAGTTAATATGGCTCTGGGCTGCAGTGAGGTATTAGCAGACACAGAACACAGAATCTGGCCCCTGAGGCTTATAAAAGAGAGAAAGAGACACCAAAGGCTGAAATCACTTCCTAGCCTTTTCCTTTCATCCTTTCCTACAGAGTCTGCGGCAACAGAAACACACCCTTCCTGTGGGACCTGCATCCCAGAACCCTTGGGGGGGGGGGCCTTGCTCTGAGCATTACTGAGTTGAGTGCTAGATGTGGCACTGAGCCTGTACATGCCAGTCTGGGCGCAGCAGCTTACAGACAAGATGTCCCAACACAACGTCAAAGCCCCGAGACCTAGAGCAGGAGGGGGTGACAGAAGCAGCAGTTACCAGAGAGGAGTGAGCGGAGGGTGCAAAGCCCCACACTGAAGTAGTGGCAGGATGAGGGCGGGAATTCAGTTCTCTTAACTTCTACACTAAAACTCTCTGGAGTGTGATACATGCAACATGCCATGTGCATGCCTACTTATCCTTATGTCAGCGTGTGTATTCAGGGGTATATGACATTTACACTTGTAGAAGTTTCACTTCATTCATCCATTCTAATTTGATTCTCACAATAACTCCATTGAAGCTGGGGCTGACCATACAGATAAATAGTGGCACCTGGATTCAGATCCGGGTTTTCTGATTCTGTCTCCTCACCTCCCAGTTGTACAGCAGCATTGTTTGATGGCAGTGGAGCTACAAAATCCATCCTGGGGCCCCTTGGAATGAAATTCTCCTTTTCCCTGACATTCCCAACAGAGCCATCACATAACGCCTTAGGAATATGGTTTCGAGGAGAGGTACGAGACGGCATAATTAGAACAGAAAACAAAATGTAGCCAGTGAAAGTTGTTTCAGTCTGACAGACAGGCAGGACGGGGCCAAGGTGCGGCAGGTTCAAACATCAGGAGTGGTCCTGGAGGCGGGACTGGGGGGTGGTAAATACGGTTGGAGGCCTTGGCTGGTGGGGGATCAAGTTCTAGAAGGTGCCAACCTCTGCCTACCCTTTTCTGGAGTTTTGTGGTTTTATACTTAGCAATTCTCGTGCCTTTTATCATAATTTTAACAATTGTGTGCTAAGAGCTTCCACTTTTGAAGAACATTTTTAGAGCGAACAGTTGTTCCCCTCTTCCTCCCAACTGGCTAGAGCTCTAAGTTGAGGGAAAGGAAGCCACGGGCACTTCCGGGGCATCTACTGTGTCAGAGCCTCACTGGCTCCTCTTCCGGGAGAGGTATGATCAGGAAACAGCCTAACAGACTGGGTAATCTGCCCACGGCCACACGGCAGCTCTCTGCAGCAGGGACTGCTGGCTTGGCCTGGTAGTCGGCTAAGGCATTCGGCCCACTCTCTCTGCATGGTGGTCCTGGCCTGCCTGCGGGCCATCTCTGACTCCAGGGCATCCTGGACTGGTCACAGTCACTGCTGAGGAGCCAGCCCTCTGCCGGGCAGGGCTTTGCAGTCATGACTGACGGCAGTGGAGACGTGGACTTGGCAAGTAAGAACCGACCCGCGGATTGCAGCTTGGAGAATGGGAAAGAACCTTACCAAATACACAGCAGCCCCTGAATTTTGCAGCTGAGAAAATTGAGGCCAAGAATTTTGACTAAAGTATTTGCCTGGGTCATACAGTTACTTAGTGAAGCTGGGGCCAGAACTGGGTCTCCTACCTCGGGCGAAGACTGGGAATTCAGCACAGTAGTTGTGAACTTCTGGGACATAGAGAGAGGGGAGAAAACACTCAAGACGGTGCTGCTGAGAGATACTTCTGATGGGGAGGAAAGAAAATAGATGCGCTCTCTATGGAGCTCGAAGAAAAGAGCCAGTACGTAAACCGCGACTGGAAGTACAGATCGAGGGGGGCTAGGGCTAAAGAGACTTCGTAAGTGACTTCCCAGATTGTGTTTTGTTCCCATTGCACATACAGTTGGGAGCCAAATGCAAGCCACCAAGGTTGCAGTGAAACAGCAAACAATTACAGCACAAATAGTTGTGGGCAGCTGTGGGAGTGCAAGCCACCTGCTCCAAGTTTACAGCTTTGTTAAACTTGGTAAACATTTAAAATGGGACGGGAACACTCCCCGCTGTCTGGACAGCATCCCATGCCCTTCCAGGAGGCCTTACTCGGGGAGCCGGGTGGCCTTGCCCTGGACCAGGCTCCTCACCACGACCCAGAGCTGCTTTCTGCTGGTGGAGGTCAAGGTGGTCAGTAGTCGCCCAGAGACCAGGGAGGTAGGGAGTGCCATAGGTTGTGTATTTGCAACTTGAAGGGAACCCCCAGAATATAGTTTTTCTCCCAATATGAAGCCAAGGAAGGAAACTGAGAGATCTTAGGTCCATCTCTCAAGTTATAAATTTAGGGGTTGATCTCTGAATTTTGACCCTCTGTCCAATGCTGCTTCATCTAAGCCCGACGAGTGTTGTAGAAGAAGACAGAGGCAACATTACCGAAAGTTGCCCGGTTCTGTGCCCCTTCAGCTGTCACTTACAAGACGGCCCGACTGGCATTAACGCATGATCATCACAAAACGAAGAACTGTCTTCCCCAGATACCAAGAGCCCTTACGAGAAACATTTTGTCCACCATTTACATTTACAGTTGAAGTTTCTACGCCCAGAGACAGGGAGGCACTTGACGGGGGAGTGCCAGTCCCCAGACTCCATCCTGCAGGGCCCCTAACTAACTCAGAGGCCACTTGGTGTCTTCCGCAAAGAGGGGGCCTTGGGTTCCCTCCCAGCCCAGCGTCTGCTGCACTTGCTCCTAAGCAATTCCCAGGCCAGACTTACTTGGACTTCAGACCATCCTGTCCATAGGGCTGCAGCAGGTACTGGTGCACGAGTTTGTCCCTAAGTGTCCCGGCCAGTTTGATTTTCTTTCTTGATCGGTGCAAGTTGATGATAAAAAGTGTAATAGACCCACGGACATAGTTGTGGCTGAGATCCATAGAGAGAGAGAGAAGGGGAAGGTGCAAACAAAGTGGTCAGTTAGATGCTTCTGAATAATTTATCAACTGCACGCAACAGGACCAGCCCTGGGAAGGACACTTATTTTATGACTCTTAGTCACTCTAGACCTTCAAAGACAGGAAGACCTTGCTACTGTGGTTTTCTGCTGAGAAGATACCTGCTTCCCACACACTCATTTTGTTTCCATTTAAATGTATTGCAATGATTTTAGAAAACATCTTTCTTTTTTTTGACTGTGGAAGGAAAACATGCTGATTGCAAAAGAAGGAAGGGAAAACAGAAACAGGAGGAAAGATAAAATTTCCATGATCCTAGCTAACATCTTGAGATAGGATATTTTGCTAAACATTCTTCTGGTATTTTTTAGTTTATTAATTTGATAAATGTTTATTGAGTGACACATACATAAATATGACTTCATTTTTACATAATTGAGATCATATTGCTCACATTTTTTCAGTTCATGCACATCTTAAACATGTTCTTGCACTATTATGTACTTTTCTGCTTGTAGAAAGAGTGCTAATTTCAATAAAAGGAGTGTCACCTATTTTATTTAACTATCTTCCTACTTTTGGGGACTTAATGTAATTTTCAATTTTTCACCATCGATGAATTATATGATGAAAGACTTCATTGTACATATACCTTTTTTTTTTAAAGATTTGTTTATTTATGCATACAGAACTGGGGTACAGGCTAGAGGTGTGGGGGGTGAAAGGATTCACAAGAGACAGAGTGGGAGCAGAACAGGCAGATCTACTGAAATATACTACTGACGGTGTTAGGGGGAAAGGATTTCCTGAAGTACACTGCAGAATTTTGTAGCCTCCACCCAGGGGTGATTGGAAACTACGACTCCCAGCAATACCAAGGAGAGAAGTAGGAGGACCCAAGGACAGAGCTAAGCAGGAATTCTGGGACTTTGGGGGAGAATATAAGGGAGCCATGTGGATGCTCGCACTCTCTGAACTGAGTCGCTCTCTCTGGACCACATGGCTCTCTAGACCATGGGGAGCTCTCTGGACCGCATGGCTGGTGGCTATCAGTGTGTTACTGGAGTTCCAAGTCAGCGGAGGTGGTAGAATGTTCTAGTTAACTTGTATCTCTCTCTCTCTCTTTCTCTCTTTCCCTGGGTTGTTTCTTTTCCTTTCCCCTTTTGTAAATAAACCGATTATTGACCCTTTTTGTGTATGCCTGCAGTACAACTAAATTTTAAATGTGTGGGTGAGTACCACAGACAGGCAACCCAGTTCACGTTGGGTTGCCCTGTAGCAAGGGGAGCAGTGGGCAGGTCAGGAGCGGTCTGCTGCGCTGTGTGGGTCACCTCCCTGGCCGGGGATTGAACTGGTGCTGCAGTGGCTGCAGTAGCGTCATGATTCTGTGTTTTAAAACATGCTTCACCAGGGAGGGCCCTATACATAAACTTTTTGCACATCATGGTTATTTCTGATAAAGTCCTAGAAGGGGGAGATGTTAGGTTGGGAGGACTGTATCCTATGAGTCCTCACCAAATCTTCAGGTTCATTCCCAGAGGGGCCCCTCCTGTGTGTTTGGGGGGGTTGGGGTGGGATTTTGCATCCCTGCCCAGCTGTGCCCTAAGGTCACATGATTGTCATCATGAACCTGACCATCACTGCTTTAAGACGCAGCCTGCATCTCCTCGTCTCCTTTCACTCTGCTAGAGACTAGCCAGTGTGTCCTTGGAGACAGCTCTGTTGACGGTGTCCTGAAGAGGCTGACGCAGAGAAGAGCAACAACTGAGTCATGACTGACATGTGTTTGGAGGAGAAATACTTTGTCTCCCTGAGAACTTCAGAGATTTGGCGCCTCCTCATTACCCCAGTTAGACAACTGTGGGTGACAGCACCCCTTTTTTGAAGGGCACTGCATATTAACCTTTTATTTTGCCTTTCTCCACATGAGAGGTAATTTGCATTTAAAAAAATTCACACTGAGTTGCAGCTTATTTTTTCATTTGCCTGTTTGCCATTTCACTTCTTTGTAAACTTCATGCTTTTGCTCATTTTTTCCACTGATTTATAAAAATGATGTATTAAAGATAGCCATCCTTTGTTTGAGTGTGTTGCAAAATTTCCCCATGTGCTCTGACCAGTGCAGTTTGGTTACATTGTATTCTGATGTGTTAAGGTGGAAAAACTTTTAAGTGGTCAAATTTATGCATCTTTCTGATTTCCGTTTTTTGCCTGTCCCTATAATACAACTACTCACGCTGTCGGACTCCTTTTAAACAGCACGGGAGCTTTAGGAGTCTGGGAGGCCTGCATACAAAGTCTTGCAGCATACATCAACTAGCATAATGATTTCCTTCTTTTGCATCGGAAAAAGACTTTGTTTCTAAGGGGTCTCTTAGGGCCCCATCTGGATGGGTTAATGAGAGGAAACAGCAAAAATGACCAGGTCTTGTCTTCAAAGGAGGAGTTCAGAGAAACCCTTAAGTCAACTTTGCCTGGAGGAGAACATATTCCTGCTGAAACAACATCCCTCAGTCTCTGGGTCACTCATCTTTGCATCTGAAGGTGCTAATTAAGAGTCGAGTGACCACATTCAGGTCAATGCGATAAGATGGGTTTGGGTTTCTGTTTTTAAATAATGCAGTTTCTGAGGCTCATGCCTTGGAGATTTTTATTCACTCCATAAGAAACAGGGCCTGGACGTTTGTATTAAAAAACAACAACTTTCTAGGTTATTTGGCAGATGAATGGGTTTGGAAACTGTTGGCCGGGGGCAATCCATTAAAGTTATAAGAAGAATTCCCAAACAATATCCCTCTGGCTGTATCTGATCATTTTTTCTTGCTCCTGTAACAGGGGACATTGTGTTCAAGGCTCCTTTGGGTGCCTGCTTTTATATTTTGTTAAATTATTAAAAGACTCTTCTATCAGCAACCTTCTCCGCTGGCCCTTCTTTTCAATTCCCCGAAGCACATGACCTAGTTTTTGGAGGTAGGTGAGTTAGGTCAGGAGACAATGCCAATTGATTTGAGCAGACATGTAGCACCAGAGATTTGAAGGAAGATGCTGCTAGGTTGTGTCAATATTTACCATCATTAAAAAAAATCCACTACATGCTCTTGGCGGGCTTTCTGCTTCCTGTGTGTAAAACTGAGGAAGACACCTCAACTAAGTATACATGCCCTGGGCTTCAGAATGGGAGCAAACATCGACACAGAAGGGTACCAATTTTGCTAGACTGGGGTAAACTCCTTTGCTAATGACCTTCAAACAACCTTCTCAAACAACCTTCGCAAGTCATGGAGGAGGAGAACTGAATACTTGCATTTATGAGTTTCTCCTCAGCAGAGCTGGGGCAGAATGAGCCCTTGGAGACCGTAGAGGAGAAGGGTGGGATGTGGGGAAGTGGTGGGTGGGAGGGAGGCCTGAAATCACAGCACTGCTGTGGGGAAGGCTGTCTTTTCAAGCTGCTTGGCAATGGCTTGAATTCTACTTACATAGTTCCCCTGGGGGAGACAAACCAGCACTGAAAGTCAGCCCAGAGAGAAGGGAGCAGAGAACTCCTCAGGTCAGAGCTGGCACTGAAGACCGTCTCTGCCATCCATTCCCCTGCTTAGCTGATGGGCAGCATCATTAGAGGGAGACCTCTTGGCTTTGAAGACACATTCTTGATTGGGAAGCACAGCGCCAACCTGAAAGCACTCTGTCGAGCATCCAGATTTCTAAAGAATGTGTACTTTTTGCCCACAGAAAAGTAGTCTTAAAGGGGTATCTGTTCCTCAAGGAAGTGGATCCTAGAGGTGTGGCCTGCAGGTGGTCACTGACTGCTGATGTCATCAAGTTCAGGTGGCTTCCCGATCTCTCAGTGCATGCCCCTTCAGTCCACAAACATTTGTCTTGCTGAAGGTCTCACTCATGGAAAGACCTCACCAGCAGGGGCGCCGTACATCTGGGGTTTATCTTTCTGGGTGCTCTTGCTACCTGACAACTTCTATAATTGTGTTGCCAGAGGAGGAATAGGACATGAGGCAGGGGAGGGAGGTTGGAATTGGAATAGCTTGGATAAAAAGGTGGGAGGTGTCACACAGGGGTCTACATCTTGATTTCAGATAAAAACAGTCCTGTTCTGGAAATATCTCCAGTAAAGGGGGAGCCTAGGAAGGGGAACGGAGGATCATGGCACCCACAATTATTCCTAGTAAAAGTCACTGTGCTTGAAAACTGGGTCGGTCCATTGTCTTCAAATCTAATTCAAAGTTTTTGGGTTCGGTAAGAGTCAGGCTCTTTTGGCCAAACATTTCTTCCCCTAATTTCAAAGCCCCTGTGTATTTTAAGGGAAATTTAATCCACATGTTTCTGATTCATTTACACTTAACTCATCAAAACATTGTTTTGTAAGAGTCATTTGATGTCCAAGAAGCCTCAGGAACCTTTTTTATGAGTCTTTAAAAAAAATTCTTCTGAAAAACAGGAAGCTATGTTTTGCCAATAATAAACGAATTTGAACCCCAAAAGGCTCAACTTTGCTTCAATATCCACCAGGTTCTAATTGGTTATGAACTTGGCTAAGGACCTCAGGTCCTCCCCAGAAACATACATCGTCTCAGCAGAATGTTTATGAAAAGGTCTCCGAGTCAAAACTTGCTTGCTTATTCTCAGAATAAGAAGACCTAGGGGGAGAACCTCCCCACTGCCATGTCCTCACTGTTGTGTCTAGAACAGACAGCAGAAAGCACCTGTTGGTGTGGTGAGTCTCTCTCCTGCTTGGTCATAAGAGACAGTGCTCTGCCAGGTCTGGCCCACAAGGCCAGAGGCCGCCGTGAGAGGTGGGAGGTCTGCAAGTAGAGTTGCACGGCCATCAGGGAGACTGAAAATGAATTCCTGTTCTCTAGGACGCTGAGCCACAAGAGCTCGAAGGTCTCTTTCCAAATGTATAGAGAATTCTTTGTATTATGAACGTTATTATTTGCATGTAGGGATGAGACTCCAGAACCGTCAGAATTCAATATGATAATATAAATGTCAATATCTGACAAGAGACTTGGCACGAAGCAAGAGGTCAAGGCATGTGACTATAGGAGTTGTCTAAATCGTCACTTTGAGTCATTTTTCTCCTAGTCAGCTCGTGCTTTCTCACCTAATCCCCGTTTTGCTGAAAGATTTATTTTCAGAGGAGTGGTCAAGACTAACTACCTTGAAGCCATCATGCTTCAATACTCTGGGACATTTTGGTAACTTCGGCCACGTTGGCCAAAAGTAAGTGATGTGAACTGGGAGTACTTCCTCATGATTGATGTGTGAGATGAGGTGGCCTGACAGAGCACATGAACTTCCGGCGAGGAGGAGGAGAAACACCGCCATTCTTGTCCTAGCTGGCTGGGCCACCTGGTAGCTGCCAATGGGTTTTCTTTTTGGATCTTATAGGGATGGGGACTTCACTCCAATTGTTGTCATTAGGGTTCTATGTGGAATGGATAAGTAAAATCTTGTCTTTTGTGTGTGTGTGAAATGTAGAAGGGAGGAGGCCAAGGAGCGTAGTGGCATGGTTCCCTGGAATGACTTTCCACAGAAAGTAGAGAGGGCTGGTGATGAGAGAATCTTCAAACAGAGGATGTTAGTGACTTGTTTTAGGTCTCAAGCTAGTGACTGGAGGGTCGACTTCTTCACCACCTGCCTTCCGCTCATTGATGTGGTATATCACCAGGGAGAAGAGGCAGAACTATAAATCAGCAGTGAGAGCTTGGTGTTCTGTTTCTGTGTTCATTCATTCATTCATCAAACCTTCATGCCAGTCACTGCATTTGACAACCAGGAATATAACAACTGAATGAGACACTGGCCATGGGCTCATTGAACACTCAGAATATTGGTGATAACTTCCCACAAAAAACGTGAAAGAATGTCAGGATGAACCTTGGGATGAGACCCATGAGGAGCCCTCTGTGAGAATACTCAGTGCTGTTAACCCCCTGGAGACTGCCTATTTTTCTCCCAGAAAAGTCCACAAACTGAAGTGCTTCCTGAAAGAGACAAAAGGTGCCAAGAGCAATTTTTCTCTCCTGAAGCTGGGGGTCCACCTTTTGGGTGGTTACATCAGAGCTGGGGCAGACAGGGAAGACAATGTTTCCTTGTGTGGTGATCAGATAACTCCAGTCAAGGCCATAAAGCAGTCACTCTCTGTCAGGTATTGGCCTGAGCTTCCTGTTGAGCAAAAGGGACGTTGAAAGCCTCTGGCCTCTGCCCAAACCAGCCTCCTCTCACCCACAATAGGCACTTGTATCTATAGACAAGTCCACTGGCCGCCGGCCCCAATGTTCAGAGTGACTCTTTGAAAAATCTTATCGCGATAAATTAGTTGGCTTGGCTCCTCTCTCATCGAGGAAGGGGAAGAAGCGTCTGCTGTAACCTGATGACCCCAGCTCTTTGTGCCATCCACTCCCAGCGATCAGCCCCCCCATAGGCTATCCAGAAGGAAGGTCTGGCTGAAGGTCCTTCTCACCCACCCCAGCACCAGGGCCTCGCTGCTTTGTAAGAAGGAATTCTCTTTTCTAGGGCTAACCTTCCTTCCTGCTCCTTACACAGGAAGTGAGGTAAGAGAGCCATATTTGGTCAGACAGGATTTGCTTTAGGCTCATTTTTTTTTTGTTTTTCTCCCATATAAGCTTCATGCTTTAAAATATCTGCCAAATGCATTTTTTTCCCTGTTGATTTTAAAGACAGCACTCATAACAAACAATGCTTCTGACCAAAAAGTGAGGAATGATCAAACATGACCATGGTGAGCTGTAGGGCTAAACCCTACAGTTGTCTAAAGTCTTAACCTTCAAAGAAGATGAGAATATTTTTGAAACCCTGCAAATGGCTCCACAGCTGGCATCTCTTCCCTGGGACACTCGGTTTGTTCTGGGGACCTGCAGCCTGGACAGGCTGGGTTTCTAGTGGCGTTGCTCTTCAGTGAGATCTAGAAATGTCTGCTGGTGGATTACAGAATCAGGTTTGCATTTCTTGCCTTGGTTCTGGCATAGGCGCACACGAAAGTCTCCTGGGTGTTACATAAACTGGCATGGGGAAAATGCACAATAAAAATTTGTGGGATGAAGAAATAATTGAACAGATGACACATGTTTTTATGAACCTTCTGTGAATAAATCCTCCAAGTGTGACAAAGGAGGTTTATCTGCTTGGAGGAAAAGCTACTTGTCAGACATCGTTTGAAACCTGTAAAGAGCAATACAGTGACCCCACATGGTGTGGAAGGCCAAGGGGGGCGAGGCCCTGCAGCCTGCAGCCTCTCTGGGCCCCCTGGCCAGACTTACTTGTGATGGCTGGTGCAGTGTGCGTAAATCCGCAGTTTGTCCCGGATCACTCGGCCTGGCCGTGGCTTCCTCTGGAGTCCAGCCACATGCACGGCCAGGACTTTGGGGCCGATGAGGCGCTTGTAAAGGAGAGAGAGCCAGTAGTCCTAAGGAGGACAGAGAGGTGAAGCGTCAAGGAGAGAGGCACCTCTGGGTGTTCTGAGAGAGCATGGCCAACGCAGCCCCGTAGCCACCTCTCACAGACGTGGTGAGCTTCCACCCGAGAGACCAGCTCCTAAGCACGGAACTCCCAGGAGGGCTCGGCCATGGCTAGCAGTGCAGTGGGCCTCTCTGATGCCATCTTTTCAATGACCAATGCAAATGCTCGTGCGGCAGATCCAGGGTGGACCCAGAGCGACAGACAGACAGAGGAATCCGAGTTTGTTCCATGAAATAACCACCACTGGGGGCTGACATTTTCCTCTTTTTTCCTCCATGACTTTACTTCATACTGGTGTGTTACTTCTGGTAAATTGTAGAAGGGGACATTTCCAATATTTAGAATTGTCCCCTATACCAGAATCCAAATGTCCTTCTCTCAGAATTGTCACGAAAGACAAGGAGTGTGGTGGGAGGATAGACCAGGGCCCATAATTCCAAAGCCAGAAACATGAGCAGAAGAACACTTGTGAGCCATGCTAATTCTTGGTCAGCCTCAATCATCTAAATAAAACACACTAATTGTATACTAAAAATATTATGATTTTTTTTTTTTAACCATGCTAGGGTAAAGTAGTAAACATTCAGCTTGTAAGTCACATGTATTCAGGCATCTGGTCACCTTAATTTGTACTGTTTTTGCTACTACCATATCTTGTTTTTGCATTTGTATTGTGTAAACTTCTGTCACCTCTTGTGGCATGATATCTGTCTTTATAACTCACCATGTAAAAACAGTCTTTGTTAACATGGCTTCCCAGTGTGCCTGGAAACTTCCACGCCACCTTCCAAGTTTTGCAATTCAGGGAACATACTACTCAGTGCATGCTATTCAAGTTCTTAAAGACATCAACCATGTCTTCATCTTTGCAGGCAGAAGCCATGTCATGATCTCTTACTCCTTGTGTGGTCTTCTGGAACATTCATTGCTTAAAAATGTCTGGTGAATTGCATGAGTAAGAACAAAGCCTCATTGCCCTCATCTACACCCTGGACCTCTGTATGAAGATTTAATTTCTGCCAGCTTAGGGGGCATAAAATAGCACTTTTCAGGTATTAAGAAGGACTTTCTCATGTCTGTCTGGTTCATAAGGAAATTTTATATTTTATTTTAAAACTTAAACTTGTTTTTCTTTTATAATGAAGTCTTTAGCCATATTAGACTTGATCTGATGGCATGGTGTGAGTGGGTTAATTTCAAATGGAGAGTTGATTGGGCCAGCCTCACTTAGTGAAGTTTCTCCTTTCTCTAGTGACCTCTGCACCAGACAGCCAGACATACACATTGCAGAAACAAATTACTAAGTGTGTAAACAAATCTGCTGGGATTTCAGAATTTCACTCAATTTATAGCTCAAGTGAGGAGAATTTCATTATTTTTTTTTCTCTTTTGGTATTGAGTCTTCTTATCCATAACTATAAATTAAGCTGAAAAATAAACTTCCAGTCAGCAGCCCTTCTTTTCTTTCTTATCAAAATAAAATTTCATAAGCAGGTAACTTTTTCTATGAAGAAATTATCCTCGATCTTGTATAATGAAAAGACATTTAAAAAAGAGAATGTGTTTACTGAAATCAGAAAATACTTTATTTTCCTATTAACCATTTGTTAGGAAGCATAGCAATGAGGAGGACCCACCATTAAGCCTAAAGTTGCTCTATTAGCAGATTCATTGATTTCCCATCTCCACGTGACTTTTCTCCCTGCCTATCTGTGTACTATTGTGTGAACATTATTTGTGATGGATCTTTTCACTTCCATTTCCAAATCTGCACACCAATGGAAAAAGTCTTCACCCCCCACCTCCACCCAGGAGTTCATGGAGAGCATCTCTGAGGGCAGGGTGTGAGGTGATCAGTAGCACTGACCATATGTACTTTTCCCATATGTAGTAAAATTGCATGTGTAAGTGATTAAGCAATAAATTGATAAACATAATTTGGGTAACAGTTACTTTGGGTGGGACAGGGAGAATCTTGAATGAGATAACGAGAACTTCAAGATTGATGGGAGTTATTGGTAATGCTTTAATTTCTATGGTGGGTGATGGATTCTCAGGTACAGTTTGTATCATGTCTGCTTTAAAAGAACATGGAGGTGGGCCCTCCCTGGTGGCACAGTGGGTGAAAGCACAGCACTAAGAAGCTAAATCAACTTCAGCATGAGTTCAATCCCCAGCCCCGGAGGTGATCCACATGGCATGGCAGACCTCTCCTGACCCGCCTGCTGCTCCCCTCAGCAGTGTACTTTGTCAGTCTGCCTGTTCTGCTCCCCACTCTGTCTCTAGTGAATCCTCTCACCACCTCTGGCCTGTAACCCAGTTTTGTATGCGAAAATCAATAAATCTTAAAAAAACAAACAAAAAAAAGAACATGGAGGTATAGGTAATCTTTTGAATGTATCTAATAAGATATTTAAAAGAAAATGGAGAAAAATTAAACAAGCATTTATCAGAGCTTTCTTTCTAAAGATGACATCAGTGATCACCCATAGCTGGGCGTGTCCGTGAACTGTTTTACACCAAAGAGAGGTGGGGTTTGGGTAACTTTTTCTAAGGTCATTATCTTTTCCCTCAGGAAAATGAAGGACTGGCATTAGTAAGTTGGTAATGATGCATTAAAGGTCAAGGGAAAACAACATTTTTGTCTTTATTTAGGCTGGGTACCATTTCAGACTGCTCTGTCACCCTTGTTCTGCAATCAGTTCCCTATTTATCTGACCCTTAAACAAACTCCATCCTCCCTTCCCTATGTTCTTATCTCTTCCTCATGTAAAACAATTCAGCAGAATCAAACTATATTTTCTTTCTTCATTTCTTCCACCCTCTACTTCTACCCTTCTTCTTTCTTACCCCTTCTTTCCTTTATCTTACTGTGAATATGTACCGTTTATATAATCATAAATAAAATTAAACAAATGAAATGATTCTTGAATATCTCTTAAGGAAACAACATGAAAAAGTGAAAAAATATCTTTATGAATAGAAAAGTAGGAAAAAACGAAGTACATATATATCTAACAACAAAAAGACATTGTACAAGAAATGGAGCGTAACAAGAAGTTTTCAGACAATAAAAAGCATTGAGAGGGAGGGCAAGTGTAATAAAAAAAAATCCAAAACAAGGAAGGAATGCACCGCAATGTCTTAGGGACAAAAACAGACACAGACAGACATTCTTTGAAGGTATCAGACATGAGAATAGGCTGAAGAAAAATAATGTCCACTATTAGCTGGTGAGGGAAAACTAATAACAGATGACACTAAAAAGACAGAGGTTTTAAATCTTTTCTTTTCCTTTACTCTTTGTCAAAAAGTCAACTGTCTGAAAGCTAGACAAGGCAGAATAGGGAGTAATTCGAACCAAAATAAATGAGAACAGAGAAAGAAAATGACAGAGGGCTGCAGAATTTACGGGAACAATCACTGAACCATGCGCTCCTCAAGGTCTAAGCCTGCTTACCCACTCCCACAGCCTGGGTCTTGTGGTGTGTCTGGGCTGTATGAGGGGCTGGAATTCAATGTTTAAGGCTCTGTGTTAGACACTGGGGCTAGAGAGATGAGTAGACAAATACAGGTCTTAGCATCATGAAACTTAATCATCTAGCAAGAAAGATGGCCCTTAAATCAATGAGTTAGGCAGTTAATTTCAACAGAGTTCACAGGAAAGGAGGACTCTATAAGACCATTTCATAGTGGAAGAGGAGGGACAGAAGTGGCCATTTAGAAAAGAGTCTTTCATGGACAGAAATTTAACATTTCAGGAAAATAAGGGAGGGGATGGAAAATGTTTGGGACAAGAGAAAGAGTTTATGTAAAGGTCTGAGATGAGTTTTGAATGTTTGAGCCTCTGAATGCCCATCAATTCAGCTTGGAGCTCAGCAAATGAATACAAAATGAGGCCAGTTCATATAGACCTCGGACTTTAGAATTTGATTTACATTAAATAGGAAGCCATTGCAGAATTTTAAGAGAAAAGGTGACATTATCTAATTTATATTTAGCAAGTTGACTTTCATAGCTGTGCAGAAGATGGATTGGAGAACACTATTTAGGAGGTTCATTTAGAAGAAAAATGATGATAGTCTGATTAAGGTGAAGAAGTTGAATTAGTGAGAAGCAGAGGGATTTGAGAGATATTTAGGAGATAAAATTTGTTGGGTGTGGTAATTGATAGGATAGAGAGAATGAGCATGAAACAGAATTTATAACTTTTTAAAGGTTCAAATCCTTAATTCCAGAGGACAGGCTTGCGAGTGATAGCACCCAGCAAATTTCCCTTCTACCCTCAATTCTAACTCCTTCTAACTCAACCTCAGCCCATGAAAACTCTGTGAGATCAAGTTCTGCCAGATGTGAGGACACACTTAAAGCAATCAGACACAATAATAATAACAGGAGAATGTGAACCAGTTAAACTTTTTCCTAATGTATCCCTGAACTCTACTGTTCTTTAAGGCTCTTTCCATGCAGATGAATCCAATGCATATTTTTTAAAATTCTTTTGCTTTTCCCTAATCGCTATTTTTCACATTTACTATTTTCACTAATCTAGGGCTAGGCAAGGGACCCTTGCTTTAGAGAATCAAACTCTGATCTTCTTTCAACTGTGCCCTTCTCTATGGGTCAAGAGGACCACAGTTAGCCATGTTCTGATTCCCCGTGAGCCTAGAATTCTCCTCACCTTGTTGCCAGGACCATGGGCTTGCCTTGGCGTCTGGCTTCCTGAGTGGACAGTAGCTTTGGAGCGGGCACCACAAGGCTGGAAAGATGGCCAGACGCAGCTGCTTACGGAGTCATGGTCAGGGATTGGGCTGCAGGCCGGGCTGTCCACACAGCACCCCCTTGAGCCCCTGAAGATAGGTCTAGGGGCAGGAGTGCTGGGCTTTCGTCCTCCAGGCATTCCCTGAGCATGCAAGGTGTACTGGGCAGCCTGGATGACAGGCAGGG